GTCCCTCCAACCTTTCATTGGGCGCCCTCTGCGTCTTCTCCCAGGAGGAATCCAGTCAAGGACCTTCTTCGGCAACCTGTCTCCTGCCATTCTCTGGACATGACCATACCAGATGAGTTGTTTTGTCATAATGTCATGCACGATGGTCTGCTTGGCATCCATGATATCCCGTACCGTCTCATTCCTGACGCGATCCTTTCTGGAAATACCAGCGGATCTACGCCAGAAGTCCATCTCTGTTGCCTCTAAAACCTCCCGGGTCCGCTGTTTCATCGGCCATACTTCACACCCGTAGGTTACTATGCTCTTGACAATCTCGTTGTAAATCCTCCTTTTGTTCTCTTTGGAGATCCTTTGGTCCCAAAGGACTCCATTTAACATAGCGATTGCCCTCCTACCCAGCATATTCCTCTTCTTGATGGCCTGGTCCAATCTTCCATCCTGGGTTAAAAACACTCCTAAATATTTGTAAATATCGCAGCTTCCAATTTGCCGCCCATCCTCTAATTCTATACTTTGCTGATTCCCGTCAACGGTCAACTTCTCGGTTTTGCTGACATTCACCTCGAGGCCCCATTTCCGATACTCAGCCACCAACTTTCGAGTCATGTACTCAGCATCATCTTGATCTTGGGCGATAAGTACTTGGTCATCAGCAAAGCATAACGTGTAAAGAGTTTCTTCATTATTTAGAGGGACACCCATTCCGGAACATTTTTTCTTCCATTCACGCAGTACATGTTCTAAGTATATTTTAAACAAGGTGGGGGAGAGGCAACACCCTTGCTTTATTGTAGGTTCGCCTTCAATTTTGGCGCATATGCAACCAACAAACCGAGGAGCGGTTAGGGTAGGTTAGGTTTAGGTTAGGTTGGATTAAGTTGGGTTGGGTTGGGTTAGGTTAGGTTGGGTTAGGTTAGGTTAGGTTAGGTTATCGGTCGTTTTTGGATATCAGTCATATAATTTTCGAAGATCCCGAGGTTGAGGATAGTGGGGAGCCACGTCCGTTTACCATAAATGATTTACAATCGGCATTTATTGGTCTCATTAATTGGTCTGTGAGGAGACAGGTTGCCGAAGAAGGTCCTTGATTGGGTTCCTCCTGGGAGAAGGCGCAGAGGGCGCCCAATGAAAGGTTGGAAGGAGGAGATTCAAGCGGAAATGTTAAGGTGCTCAATGCCCCAAGATTTGTGGTTTGAAAGAGAGCAGTGGAGGTTAGGAGTCGCAGAGCGCGAGGGAGTGCTGTAAAGCGACTTAAATGTATGTATTTATTGGTCTCATCATTGTTTCGTTCCTGAGTTTTCTAGCGTTTTTAGGAGAACTTTTAGTTGATTACTTTCAACAATCGATCTTCAGAAAATTTCTCTCCCGATTGAAGAGCTCCGTCTTGAGAAGATCGGAAATGGTGTTTAAGGCCCGAACTTGGCACCTTGATTGAGAGGGAAGATAAAGAAATTCGTTCCATTGGTCCATCAAAAATAGAGGGTCCCCTCTGCGGCCTCTCAAATGCCATTTCGCGATTATCAAACAATTCGAAGATTTGGAGAGAGCTATGTGGTGATGATAAAAATTACACCTAAGTTGACTGTTCCAAAGTGAGAGCGCCAATAAGTCATCCCAAATGAGGGGCTTGGAGGGCAATGTGCATAAGTGCAGTAATTGCTATTTCGAGAAATACGTGCTTGAAGGCTCGAAATTACATGGATCCTTACGGCGGAAAGAAAGTTCAAAATAACTTTTGGATGCTTAAAAATTGGAATTTGGGAGCGTATTTTCAACAGAATATGCACTAAGGCTAGTTTTACAATAGATCATTAATATCTCAATTTTTTCAAAATCTGCACTTATGCGCCTTGTCGTCCAAGCCCCCTCTCCCCCAAATATGGTTCATGTCCTGTTCCATAAGCTTTTTTTAGAGTCGACTCTCTTATCGTAAATATCGTTTTTATGTGCTTTTGATGGAGTTGATTCTCTTGTTAATTGTAAATAACTTCCTTGCTATGTCTGCATGGTGATAAAATGTGAATTATAAACTGTTAATTCAATGCTGGTTATCTGCATTTTTCTTAAGTGCATATGAGAATCAAATAACAGTCGATTTACTGATCTAGGGTTTTTGGTCAGTGTCGATTGCAACCAGTGGTGATTCTTACACTTTGGCAACACTGTTTTTACTCCATTTAATGCACGCTAAACAATCGATTCGAGGCGAGGTATCCATCCCGCCTCACCTAAAATATCAACAGTGTTGCCAACTTGCTGGAATCACCACTGATGTAGCGAGAGCCCATAAACACGGTCGGCTCGCGCCATAGGCTTGTGATTTACCTTTGCCTTTCCTCATTTCCTACTTTAACTTAAGAGACTCTTGGCCCAGATGAACATGTACATATCAAAATTGAAAACAAGACGACGGTTCCAACGTTAAGACGTTGGAGAGCGTTCACCGTAGCACCTCGTCAATATGTAAAGGTTGTTTTGTACGGACGGAAAAGAGCGCTGCAAGACGCTGTTGAACTGCAGACGTGAAGCGTAACCTAGGAAACATACATATGGATTGCATTTTGCAAAAAGGAACCACTAGCATTGCAATGATGCTAAGATTGTGCAACTTCATCTTTTGCTATAAAATTGCGGGAATCGTGAAAAACTATGAACTTTAGATGGTGATTTTTGTCTTAAATTTACAGTTTTTAGCGAGTAAAATAGAAACTATTAATGGATAATCGGGTTTTTCCTCCGAGACAAAAAAAGTTGCACAACCTTAGCAACATTGCAATGCTAGTGGTTCCTTTTTGCAAAATGCAATCCATATATGCATGTCATGATAGAGTATAATATAGAGGTCATTAGTGAAGGGGTCCTTTGTACCCAACAATTTTTTTAGAACTCCGACGAGAAAAAACTCGAATGATCCTTGAAACAGTCATTAAATAAAAGTACGTTGCAGAGTTTTAAGACGTAAGAATATTCATTTCTCAATGACAAGCATACATTATATGAAGTAGACAAAATAGGAGAGAAAAGGTAGAAATGGTAACTTAAAAAAATTGAGAAAATAGATATTGCTTCCTGCCACGAAAAATGGCGCCGATACCCATGGAGCAGTGCGGGTCTTTACCAATGGATACATTAGTAACATACCCGATGGAAAACGATGGGAAAGAGCGTCCACTACTAACGTGGTGAACGCTCAAATATCAAGAGAAATTAACTATGTCACACTTAAGGGGAACCAGCCACCCTATCTTCCCAATGTTAACGTTTGTACCTTTTCCTCAGGATCTACTGAACAAAAATTACTTCTCTTTTTTTTTGAACTTTGAACCCTCCTGAACATTTTAACACGGGCTTTTTTTGAAATTTAAAAATTTGAAATTTTGGTGATTTTTTGAAATTTTTTTGTTAGAAATCAAAGAATTTGGACATTTGAAATCAAATTGAAAAAAATCCAGCTCAAAATTTTGGAAAAGCTCGTGTTAAAATGTGCAGGAGAGTGCAAGGATTAGAACAAATCAAAGTTTTTGAAAATCGGTTCAGTAGATCCTGAGAAAAAGGTACACGAGTGCTGAAAAATGTAGTTTTCGGGAAACAGCAAAATCAGTTTTAGTGTAAGTAGTAGTGTATTTAGTGAACCTTCCCTCACTGAACCGCGCGTAACTTCAAAACTACTCATCAGATCAAGTAAAACTTGGTCTGAAATTAAACGTGAGGAGTAGGAGATTAAGATTAGCCAGAAAATAAAAAAAACATTTTTTTTCAATTTTCAAGTGGCTGGCTCCCCTTAAGTATTACAGAATCATATGTCAAACATGCTCGCGAAAGAGGGGTGTCGGGGTATATCGATGTAAGCATTTTCCGTTCCTGCACTCCTTTCCCTCCCATCAGGTAGCTTGTGATTGGTCTTATTATTGTATCTCTAATAGGTAGGCAAATGCCTCCTGAATTCCGCCTCATAACTTTTTCCCAGTGATTTCTTTCCACTAAATTCATCTCCTTCTATCCTTAAAATTTGGGGAACCAAAAATTTGGCGCGCCAAGCTACAAATTGCCTAGATTTTTGGTGTAGCGTAACTACGACTACAAGCATGTATTTCAATTCAGATTTAAAATCGAGGGCGGATTTTCGTAAGGATTTTATATCGATTGCCTTTCATTGCAACGTCCGAGAACGTGTTTAAGGTGATTCGATGGCCTCCATATTTTGTATCATAACGACATGCGATGTATCGAATCGATTAGTTCCATGCTTTCAGTAACTAGTCATTTTTATCGAATTTGGTGATCCCTTTTCTGTTGTTACAAGACTAAAGAATTCTTTTTCATAATTTGACTAAAAATTCAACGTAATAGAGGCAGGATTTTTAGAGGTTAAATTTCGCATTCGATTGCAGTTTCGATATCAGTATCTAATACGATATTTCTCCCCTAAAAAAACCATGTATTTATTACGTTAATTTTTTGGTCAAATTTTCTAAGTGAATGGAGAATTTGAATGCGAATTTTCTACTGCCTCATCTGATAAAACTTAAAGAGTTGATTTCGCAGTATTTTTTATAATTTTTTCTGGCATGTGAAATAGTGTAAAAATAGATTTAAAAGTGGGAAAATGCACCGCCTGGTGACGTCATCTGGAGGCATTTCCCATGTAAACACACGTATTTTAGCAGATTAGATCATTTTCTCATATCTTCTCCAATAATTGCTCAATCATGAACCAAGGAATCCTCGTGTTCAGTTCACTCAGTAGTTTCCGCTTAAACACGAAATTAATCAAATTTCAGACACCCGCAAATTCTCTATTTGTTAGTCTCATGACAAAAGGAATGCGATCTCAAAATTCGATAGAAATGACAAGTGGCTGCAAACATGGAACTAATCGATTCGATATATCGCATGTCGTTCTAACACAAAATATGACGTCCATCGAATCACCTTAAAGCCTTGTCCGCGTGAAGGTAAACGGAAAATACTATACCATTGATTAACAATTTTTTTAGGACCAAAATGGCTCCCGGTGATCGGCAACTTATACGCCGTCCAGAAGCGGTTGACAAAGATGAAATTTCTCCATCTGGTATTCACGGAATTGGCAGAGAAATACGGACCCGTGGTTGGACTTCGTTTGGGCCTGTTTCGAGTCATCATCGTTTCCGATTATGACAGCATTCGTCAGGTCCTCACCAAAGATGAGTTTGTGGGCCGCCCTCAAGGGTTCATTTTTCGCTTGAGGTCCTTCGGGAAAAGGCATGGTAAGTCTAGTCTCCAACTTCAACGGATCACTCACAGAAAAGTGAACTACTGAGAAAAGGAATTTTTTCTTTGACCCAAAGTAAAACGAAACTCAATCTTCTTTTTTTTACAATCAGAACGATTCGCCATTTTCCGGTTTAACAAACTTGACTCTATTCCAAGGTTTTACAATGAAGTTGAACAATATAACCTTAGGAGACAAGAATAAGCCTTCGCAATTTCTGTCCAAAATCGCTAATTTGTGTTCGTAATTAGTAAAGAGTCCGGGAAATTTTGAGTAAGTGGTGCTCATCAAGTTCCTAGTAAAAGTCTAATTTGGAAGTTGAAGTTTTGCAACGCTGAAAAAAAGTTAATTTTTTTGTCTGGCAAACTGCAAATGGGCCGCGTTTAGCAGAAAGGAACCAAGCCACATCCGCCATTGCCAAACTTAATCGGGCACTTTGATTTTTTACATAAGAACGATTGTGCGGATTCCTTTGAAAATTTTATGGAATTGGCTTCGTGCTATAAAGAAAATACACCGAAATTTGCAAAAAAAAATCCGCACATTCGTTTTCATGTAAAAAATTAAATTGCTCAATTAAATTTTGCAATAGCTGAAGCGGCTTGGTTCCTTTCTGCTTAACGCGCTCCAAAGCAGTGCACTTGAAAGAGAATAAAAAGAATTGAATTTACCCCCAAGCTTTCCATTCTAACCAGAAAAAATCGCTTAAGTCAAGAAAGAATCGCTTGAATCAAGTGATTTATGCTTGATCTCCCTGGTAAAAATTGGCGATAAGAGCTGCGTTTCAAAGTACCATAGGAATTCTCATAGCTGGCTGTAGAATGCGGAGAAAATCATACGGCCGGGCTATACGAAGCGATAAATAAAAAATTCTGCAGCCGGGCTATAGTTCCTATCGCTGGGCTTTACACTTTATCGCCTGGCTGTTGCTTTTTCGCCATCGATTATAAAAGGCTATGAAAAATTTTGTAGAAAATCGTGTGCTTTGGAAATCATTAAGTTTGATACGGAACCAACTTAATATTTACAAAACACACATTATATTTTCCTTTAATACATATTTTTTTTCATCAATTAAAATTAGACTAATCCATACAGGATGTGCAAACATTTCAAAATCATGAGTTGAATAACGCTGACTCCGCCAGATTAAATATCAGAGCCGAACACAAAGCGGAGCGGCGCGGCAACGCACTGGCGCCTACAAACCTAACTGGGATACTTCACGCATTGCGCAACGCGTGAAGTATCCCTGTTAGGTTTGTAGGCGCCAATGCGCGTTTCGCGCTGGCTGTCCGCCTGCCGCGCCGCAGCGTGCCACGGCGCTTGAAGCAACTATTTCACACCAGAGGTATTGCACAGTATCATACGAAACTGAAGGCGCTCTAATATATTAGTAATGGCAGGCATCCATCAAAAGTACGGAGCTTTCCTTGCAAAATAAATCAAGATACTACGGACCAAAAAGAGAGCAGTATTCTAAAAACTCACTAAGTCCTAGCATCCGTAATTAGTAACGTTTAGCATAAACTTTATCGTCTGGCTGTTGCTTAATCGCCATCGGCTATAAAAGGCTATAAGAAATTGTGTAGTCGGCTGTAGAAGCTATTGGAAATCTTACAGCCGGCTGTAGGTCTATGGCGTTTTGGAACACAGATTGTACTGCCAATTTTTACCAGGGCTACGCAACTCTCCTCTTGATATGAACATCATTTTTTCCGCTTGATTCGAGGAAACTCCTTGGCGGCAAATTCAAAAATATTTCTACTTAAATTAAATCACTTTTTCCCGGTTTAGACTGAATTAAACGGAAATGAACTGGATAACGATTTAAGAAAAACCATTAGGAGTAGTTTTGAACTTAACCAGGCAAGTTTCTGGACCAGTGGCATGGCGTGCTTTGGGTGCGATTATCAGGGTGTCCGCAACGAGCACCTTAATAATCGATTCTTTACCATAGCTTCAAATGAGGAAATATCGATATATATCGAAGCACGCCACGCCACTATTCTGAACCTCCAAGAGTGAGAGCGTCCGAGATAATGTCTAGGCAGTGCTCTTGCGGAGATGTTGCATGTGTGAGGAATTTGCGATTTGACTTTTGATTCTTACGTAAAAGTTCGCGAGAAACACGATGGTGCCACTGGTTTTCTCTGAAGTTAACTCCCTAGCTCAAAAAAAGCTCTCAAGTTGAGGCCAAAATGGAGGGGATATCCCACGATATCCTGAGAGTCCACCTCTACATAAAGACAAACTCTGTACTCAAAGATAGGGCGCAAATACATTGGCAGTGATGCCGTGCTTTCAGTTTTGGAGTCCCCAAATAAACTGACAGCTCTGTCAATGTATTTGCTCCCTATCTTTGCATGGAGAGTTTGTTTTGATATAGAAGTGGACTCTCAGGATAGCGTGGGATATCCCCTCCAGTTTGGCCTCAACTTGAGAGCTTTTTTTGAGCGTGGGAGGTGATTTCAGAAAAAAACCAGTGGCACCATCGTGTTTCTCGCGAACTTTTACATAAGAATCAACAGTCAAATCGCAAATTCCTCACACATGCAACATCTCCATTTATCGAAAATCATCATTTTCTCTGCTCAGGTTTAGTCTTCACAGACGGACCTGTTTGGATGGAGCAAAGGCGGTTCTGCTTGAAGTACTTGCGAGAAACAGGGATGGGGAAACCGAGAATGGACCATCTCATCGGCATTGAAGCAGCGGAGGTTGTCCAAGCTCTCCGCATCAAAATGCAGGTTAATGAATTTTTCAATTTTTTCTGTCATAAAGATACTTGTCGTGATAAATGTGATCAATGCAAACCGTCTATAAAATGGTGTTAAAAATTTCGACACTTCGCATTTTTCTGAGTTTTAAAAATAGAATCATTCCTCTGTGGCAGTGTGGTATGATGTTGCAAAGTTATCAGTGTTTTTGTTTTCAAAAACATGAATACCGAAATTTTGAGAAAAAAATGGAAAGTTAATTTTTTTTTTACAAAAGTCACAGCATAGAGTTATTTTGAGGAGAGTTGTGGATGTTTTCCGATGAAATTTTCAAATAATTAAGCCCTGATCGTGGATACAATTCTCTAAAAAGTTCGAATAATGTCCCTGAAAAAGACTATTTTATCAAGGGAATGGCAACGTCTGGACGCTCATACGGCGTATTTCCTTCGCACGGCAGATTTGGAATGCAGAGTGGCTAAGTACAGTGAATCGGACTTAATTATGCTAAATGGAACTATGTGCAAGTGGAAAGAAGATGGGGTGTGCTTGTTAGTGCCCAGGCCATGAGAATGAACGGGGATTTGAAAGCTCCAGTGACGTCAGCGGCAACGAGGCCGTCTCCATTGTCGTTCTTGCTCGTCTTTAACTCATGAGCCCTGTCCACAACGCTCTTTTCACATGTCCACGGCTCACGAGTTAGCGCTCAGTTCCTTTTGATTTAATGTAAAATCCCGCTTTTCCATTTTCTCAAAAGGAACTATGTCCACTATTACATTGTTTCTTATCCAGCTCACCACGGGCACACCACATCTTTCCACTTGCACATAGTTCCTTTCAGCATAAATACGTCCAATTTGAATTTGATTGCAGACGCACGGCTTCGTAAGTGTGCGAAATTTCTTCGACGTGGCCGTTCTGAACGTGCTGTGGACGATGGTGGCCGGACAGAGATTCCATATCGAGGATCAAAGACTCTCAAAGCTTCTCAATTTACTCCACCAACTCTTCAGGCTTGTTGACACTTCGGGAGGAGTCCTGAATCAGCTGCCCATGCTCAGGCACGTTGCGCCTGAAAAAAGCGGGTATAGGCAATTTAAGAGCATTCTCGACCAGATTCACGCTTTCCTGAAGGTGAGTGAAAGATCCCTTTGGTATGTTGTCTTTGTCGCTACGGAACCGTATTTTAATGATCGAACTCAATGGAGAATTTGCAGGTGTTTGAAATTTGATGAGTTCCGTGTTTGAATGGACCAAGTGAGCTGAACACGAGGATACCCTTGGTTTATAAATTGAAGGTTTCGGGACATTTTGTCAACGATGTTTTATCCGCGCACCTTTTTTGTCCAGTAGCTTATGCCCACAAGTAAAATAAGCAACGGTGACTTGGTTCAAGCGTTATATTTTAGTCGGTATGTAAAATTATATAGACAATATGGAAATGAGAAATTGAGAGAGAAGGAGGTATTGATATGGTTGCTCATTTTCTAAATGAAATGTTATTACTTTCTCCTTTTGAATCATCTTTCAAAATTGTCATTGGTGATTATTTGGTTTTATTTCTATCCTTAAAATGATCGATGTACAATATACCTTATATATGTATAGGTACTTTTTTATTTTTTTAAATTTTTTCTTTACGAAATTATTACTTCATTTTGAAAACATTTATATTTTTAAAACGTGACAAATATTTGTAAAACCTTTTCCAAGCGACATTAATCTCAATAAGCCGCAGTTGTGCCGACAGAAACTGCAAAAATGAATGAAAGAGGAAAAAAAAAAAACCAAGAAGCACGCAATCTTTAGTTTTAACCCATTTGTACATCGATCTTTTAGAGTCAAATACGTCAAATGTTGAGTGTTTGGTTGCGCATACCCCTCGCTGCAACACAAGAAAAGCACAAAATGTAAAAAAAATTTAAGTGCTTTGGAAATCATTAAATTTGACGGAACCACCAATATTCAAAAAACACACACCATGTTATTTTTCTCCTTTGATAAATTGATACATATTTTTTCCCCGTCAATTTAAATGAGAATAATCAATGCAGAGTGTGCAAACATATCAAAATCCTGAGTCAAAAAACGCTGACTATGCGAGTATTAATAAGAGAGCGGAGCGGCGCGGCGTGCTGCCAGCGCGAGAGGCTCACTGGCGCCTACAAACCTAAGTGGATACTTCACGCATTGCACAATGCTTGAAGTATCCACTTAGGCTTGTAGGCGCTAGTGCGCGTTCCGCGCTGGCCGCCTGCCCGCCGTGCGGCGGCGCCTGAAGCAATTATTTCACAACGGAGGTGTTGCACAGTATTATACGAAATTGAACGTACTAAGAATGACAGGCATCCTTTAAAAGTACAGATCTTCCCTCGCAAAATAAATCAAAATACTTATCGTACACTGAAAAATCTAAGAGCCTTTATCTGAGGCAAATATAGAGGTTCATTCGGTTCAGGTATAACAAGGTGGAAAAATCTTGAAAGATAATTAGGTCCTGTTGCACCAAAGAGGGGTAGAGAGTTTTAGTGCATTTTGTCTCATGAAATTGACGCTCCCCCATTTTTACCAAAACTCTCAACTATATATTATTCCCCGTTGGACCAAACAGACAAAACAAAAAAACAAGCAAACCCTCATTCTTCCAAGACATTTTACATTTTCATCCAAAAACGTCGTGAGCAATTGTCGTTTGTATTTACATGTGGGCCAATTAACTTTGGGTCTCAACTGGCACGTGGACCAAAACTCCCGTGCCGAAAAAACGCGTGGACGTAAATTACTGGAAAAAACAGGTGCGCAGACAAAAAATCGTTGACGAAATGTCCTGTAACCAAATTGAACAATACTATTGGAGGAGATATAACAAAATGATCTATTCTGCTAAAATACGTGCGTTTATATGGGAAATGACGCCAGATGACGTCACTAGACGCGCATTTTCTCACTTTTAAATATAATTTTATACTATTTTCCATAGCCGGAAAAAATTATAAAAAATATCGTAAAATCAGCTCTTTAGGAACTTTCAGACGGAGCAACAAAAATTTTGCGTGCAAATTCTCCATTCAGAGGTGAAAAAACAATTAAATCCGTGAAAACCGCTAAGTTTGCTTGTAGTAATGAAAGGAACTTTAATGTCATATTCATAGTTGGGCCCTTGGATTGCATTTTGCAAAGAGGAACCATGAGCGTTCCAATGTCACTAAGATTATGCAACTTTCTTTACCTTGCAAAATAATATAAACTGAGCATCTAAATAAGTTTTATTTTCACTCCGAACAAACTAAAATTTTAAGTCGAAAATGACTTTCGTACACTTATTTTTTTGCATGATTCTAGTAATTTTTTTGCCAAGAATGTAAGTTGCACGATCTTAGCATCACTGGGTTGCTCTTGGTTTCTTGCAATATAGTTGACCCTCAAACAGTTTTTTGAACTCTATCAAAAATAGATGATTCTAGACTTGCCGGTGTGGTCTAAGTCTGCAAAAGTTGAAATCGATGCTCCTTAATTGGCCATTTGAAAAAATCATAGAGCACATAGAGTCGTAATGTAAATGGGAGAGGCTTCGGTCACTATTTCGATATATTTTCGATCCAAAATGGCGATGTAACATATGTAGTAAATTCTATCCTCTTTGTTTATACCGGATCGGATCCTCGGGTATCGAAAACAATCAAATATGTATCGAAAAAGTGACCCGGAATTGACAAGAGTCTTAACATTTGACACTTTTTTTCGATCATGTTCGACAAGACATGACATGTTCGATCCAAAATGGCGGTATGGAATACGTAGTAATTCCTATCTTATTTGTTTACATCGGTTGGCCGAAACCCCTTGTATCGAAAACAATCGATTATGTATCGAAAAAGTGACCCGGCGTCACACAGAAGTCTCGGGATTCGGGACCTGAAAAATGCTTAAATGTGGCGCCAGCTCTCCCACTTATATTACGACTCTATGTGCCCTATGGAAAAAATAAGTGAATGGAGCTTCATTATTTCCTCTTGAATTATCACCAGGAATCTGTGGACGAACACCGAGAGAATTTTTCGTCTAATTTGTACGAGGCGAACGACTTAATGAGTGCTTACATCCGTCAAATAGAGAGCAATAACGAAACTTCTAAGTCTACTGCCAACCCTTCAGAGTTTTCAGGTAAGAGGATGCAAAATAATTATACTTTAGCGTTATGATTATTTTATTAAAGGGCAGGGCCGAATTTAAGGGGTGGCCACATGGGCCGCGGCCCATAGCGACAAATTTTGCAATTTGTTTAAATGGAGGTATAAAAAAAAAATCGGATTCAGAAAAAGAATTACAAACGAAAAAAAGCGGCAAAATCACTCATTTCCTGAGAGTGTAGTAATTTCTAATTTTGTCGTCTTTCGACGACATAAGAGACAGCACCTTAAAATTAGTCGAGTTGAGAGAGAAACCAAATTTGCAATTTGGCCTGGAGCGGCGCGGCGCTGAGAGCAATGATGACGAGAACTTGAGATAAAAAGGAGAAGCCCTCGACGCGGCGCGACGGTCGGCATGTAACACATACTAGCGCCTAAAAGACTGCATGAATACTTCACGCATTGCGTCAAACTGAGTGCAGTCAGCAGCGGTCGGCGTGAAACGCATAGCGCCTACAAGACTGTAGGAATACTTCACGCATTGCGCCAAACATAGTGCGTTCAGCGCGGCGCAGCAGCGGAAGTTAAAATTAATAAACCACATTTAGGCCTTGTCTCCACGTGACGTTTTCATGGGATTTGTCCCAAGTTCGAATCGCAGGAATGAAACTTCTGGGATTTTTCCCAGTTATCGTCTCCACGGGACGGGGCTCTTACAGTCCTGCGACTAGTTTGCGCGGGAAGATAAATTAGTTAAAAGTCGAGTATTTAACCGGGATTAAAATAATAATTGCACTCAATTGACAATTACACACATTATTCTATATTCTATGAAAGCCAGCCAAATTGGCATTAAAATGTTATGAGTAATCTCCTCCTTTTTTTGGGCCTCTGAATTTGTCCGTGCACTAACCGTTTGCGGGGGTTTGGATTTTCCTTTTTACAGAGGAACAACTACTGGTGATTCTTTTGGATCTGTTCATGGCTGGTTCCGAAACGACGAGCACAACACTCGACTTCATCATCCTCTACTTGGTTCGATTCCCGGAGTGCCAAAAAAAGGCGCACGATCAGTTGTTCTCAGTCACGGGCTTCAACCGAGAACCAACCCTTAAAGACAGACCGAGGTACGATCATTCAATATTTTGCACCGATATTCCTTGGATCGTTTCCAGACAAAAGAACTTCCGTTGACTCTCAGCACCAGAGACAAGAAACCCTCCACAGGCCTCTTGGCGACAGGTGGAAACTTTTACTATCGGGGATTCAATAATTCCTTATGGACAATTATAAGGGAGCAACAGTCATCACTCATCACCCTAATCTCGACTGTTAACCTACCTACATGGTGGATGATGAGCTTCGGGTGACGTCATGAGCCAAACAAGTTTCCCAAACTTCGGCTTGTTTGCAAAACCAAACTGCCAACACGTTGTTCAACATCAACCATGTAGGTAAGTCAACAGAAGAATGCTGAAATCCCGAAAGTAAAAGCTTCCACGATTACCAAGATACCAGTGGGGTCTCTTGTCTCTGTTCTGCACGCATAGCGTACTGTAAATTTCTCAGTATATTTTTTCTCGGCTTTTGAATTCAAGTTCCCCTAATTATTTATTCCATCACAAAAACTATTTCTATTTTCGAAAAATATGATTAATACCTTCCGGCGTTTCAACTTTCAGCCTATGTTACATTGATGCTTTTATTTCTGAGGTACAGAGACATGGAAATAACGTCCCTCTGGGAGTTTCTCATAGAGCCGTTGAAGATACCAATTTGAACGGTTTTACGATTCCTAAGGTGAGTATCTTCAAAATCATTTTATAGCTCCTCATTCGTTAAGTTTTGAGATTAGACCATCCGTGGGCAAGAGGACAAGAGGTTGGTTCCAACGCGCGAACTTACGTAGGTTGGAGAGCAACATTTCTATTTATGGTAAGATCATCACGTGTTGACAGTACAGAATAGAATGAATCACTGAGAGATACACAACTATTATAACACAGAGCTAATAGTATCAGCTGTTTTGATTTGACATTCCATCATGGAGTAATGTATAGGGTTCATACTATATAATGAATGGGTACTTTGTACTCAAAGAGCTTTGAATAAAATTTTTGAACAATGCGTCTTAGGCCCAAATTATTCCCAGCAATCTTTTGAATATTTCTGTATTTCATTCATAGGATATATACTGGTTAATTAAATTATCTTTAACCATATCCTCATTCACAAAAATGCGAATTGTTTCATATTTTCATCGATTCTAGCCGATAGCGATGACGGTTTAGAGCAACTCAGGGGTTTCGGGCGACATTGCACCATTTTTAAACCGAAAAACCGTAATTACACTGAATTTTTGACGAGGCTCGTCTTTCAGAGGCAATACTTCAAAAAGTTAACTGAGAGAGCCGTGTTTCTATCGATTAAGAGAGAAAAATTTAGGTGCTGAATGTTGTTACTGAACCTGACCCATCTTCTAAAACGATAAACTCGCCAAACACACCTTAAGCCAAGTCACGCCAAAATGGAAGAAAATATGCCACGATGTTTAAATTTGGCCTACATAGCTCCTACATAGCTCCTAGCCTACTACATAGCTCCTACTCTACACAGCTCCCAGTTACATCCCCTAGCGGATATTTCCATAATCCGAATATTTTCCATCGTTGCCAAGTTACGGCAAAATTTCAGGTTTTTTTTGGTCCCCTTTCGTACAACCACTCACTACTATGCATTTCAGGGCATCATCGTGTATGAAAAAAGTACACATTTAATTTTCAGAGCACAGATCTTAACAAACACAAAAATCACCACTAAAATTTTACAATGTAACAAATAAAATTTCAATATTGACAGTTATCAATAATATTGTCAACCTTATCACCATTTTCTTTCAATATTTTTCAGGATAGCGTCGTTTTCACTAACCTCTACCGCATGAACATGGACAAACATTTTTGGGGAGACCCCCACGAATTTAGACCGGAGAGATTTCTAAATTCAAGCGAGCAACTTTCCAATCACGAGCGATTCATGCCTTTCGGCCTGGGTGAGATACACTCTCGGATAATCTTTTATTTAAAAACCTTTTTGAAAGCAAAATCAATCTGAGTTAAATGGGTTAGCAACGTGTCACACAATGCACGCAATTTTGCAATTTGCCATGAGATGAACCAAACAGAATTTGAGCGAAAAATGTTAATAACTAGTCCCCTAGTTCTCTTAAAAATGACCATACTCATACAAAATACTCATGAAAATTATTTGAGTGATTAAAGTTTGACGAAGTTTTCTTTCAAACATGGACGAGAAAATTTTTAGCGTAAGGCCTTGTCCACACGAGCGCGGTTCGCGGAACTCAGTTCGAGGAACTTGTTCCCGGAACAAGTTTTTAGCTAAGTTGAAACGTATTCCTCCAAAACCCGAAATTTCCCCCGCACTCCGAGCTTCTAAATATGTTTCTTTTGATGTGAATTTGCTTGTTTTTGTTTTTTACGTCCTTTACATATCTTGACCTTTATTTTTGTTACCTTGGCGGTCGGAATAATCTATTATTTTGCAATAATTGTATAGTTTTATTGAAGTTCCGGTTCCAGTTCGGGCGAACTCGTGTGGACATGCCTCGTTTCAAGGAATAAGTTCCGGGAACTGCGCTCGTGTGGACAGAGCCCTAAGATTTGAATAGACCGTTCACTCCACTTTGTAAAAAGGGGGAACGAGTAGTTGTTTTGATACGAAATGTTTATTTTTCAGGTCCTCGAAGATGCTTGGGAGAATCCCTCGCCAGGGGTACTCTTTTCGTATTTGTGGCTTCTATATTAAATAACTTCACAATCACGTTACCATCTGAGAAGGAACCACCGACCCTGATAGGTGTTGATGGAATCACATTGACGATACAACCTTTTGAAGCATGTTTCACCCCACACCATTGATGATACAATTTAGTTTAGATGAAGATCTCAAAAAAGTGTAGAAATTGTAAATGCTAGTTTTTTTTTTTTGTGAAAATAAGATCGAGTCACATGATGTTTTATCTCCCAATTGAAATTGATACATCCCACAAAAATGCGCAGGCGGTTTCAACACGATGACGATACGCATCGCAGTAGCGGAGCGTGAATTGCGATACATCGATTGTTATGCCATTTAAACCTATGGAAAAGGATCGATGAACAGAGTGGTCGCAACGGACACCTTAATAATCGATTCTGTACCATACCTTCAAATGGAGAAATATCGATTATCGATCATTTACGTCTCGCGACTGGCCCCTGCTTCTCCTATTCCTAAAAAGAAGAGAAGGATTTCTCAAAATATTTGCCTCACAGTTTTCCACCGTGAATTTAAGGTGATTCGATGGACGCCATATTTTGTGTCAGAATGGCATGCGATATATCGCATCAATTGGTTCCATTCTTTCAGCTACTCGTCATTTTTCTCCAATTTTGAGATCGCAATTCTGTTGCCAGGAGACTAAAGCACTCACCTACCAATTTTAACAAAGAAATTCAACGTAATAAAGGCGTGGTTTTTTTTAGAGAGGAAACATCGCATTCGATAATGACATCGAAACTGCACTCGAATGCGATATTTTCTATCTAAAGAAACCACGTCTTTATTATTTTAAATTTCTTTGTAGAAAATTCTTTGTAAAAATTGGTAAGTGAGAGCTTTAATCTCCTGACAACAGAATTGCGATCTCAAAATTGGAGAAAAATGACGAGTAGCTGAAAAAATGGAACCAATTGATGCGATATATCGCATGCCGTTCTGACACAAAATATGGCGTCCATCGAATCACCTCAAGCCAAAGACTCATCTTTCGAAGGAAATGACCTTCCTCTCTGATTTTGAACAAAATCTAAAATCTCGTGCCTCAAAGTACAGTTTCGCTAGCTTCCGCCTAAATTGGGTCCTGTGGACTGACCTTGCCATAGATATTTGCCAAAAATACTTAATTTGATAAGCTATTTATGCATCCAGAAGCGTCGTTCAGCTGTCTATGATGATGAGATAGAATACGGCGGGAAGACTTGGAATAGACAAAATCTCTGTATCACATGCCGATCCAATTTTTCAGGATTGACTCTGCTTTTGCCAAAGTTTCATCTTTCTGAAGCATAAAGTTAAAAATTTCAGATTAGAGCTGAAGAAAAAAACACCTTGGTATGACGAGCGACAAAACTTCATAGAAAAAGACTCGTGTAAAAAAACTCAGGGAAAATGGTGACATAGACTCAGAGCGAAGTACCGTGTAATATTTTTCAGAGAAAAAATAATTAGAAAACGTATTTTAGGCTCCTAAATTTTTTCACCGCTTTGCTAATAATGATCTTTTTCTGTTAAAGTCTTGATCTCCAGTTATTCACGATTTCTTTGCGAGTTTTTTAAAGTTAAAAATTTCAAACTTGTAAAAGTTACCTATTTCAATTTTTTCAAAAAGTTATTTTTAGAGCTGTGCCTCGTGAGATAGAAAAATGTATGATAAAATACTTGATTGAATTGTTCATTTCAAAGGGACTGAGAGGCGAAGATAATGATTCATATTTATCTAGGAAAGCTAATTTTAGTAATGTTCACTCATATAAAAAAAAAAAATTACACATTTTTAGAGAGTGACAGAGTATCAGCTGATTTCAGTTCAGCATTGAAAGTAAATTCAAGATCCAACATATCAGAACATCTGCCTTCCTTTAAAAGAGCGTGAATTCATTTGGAGTGGGGTTTTAGTAGCGTGTATTAAAATTTAAAATAGCCTCCGTGTAATTCTTTAAAATCATATTCGGTAATTACGACGGTGAATATTTTTCTCTCGGTAGTCTCGGTGTATTTTTGCTGACTTATGCACCGAGAAAAAAGTGAAGTTGATTTAACATTCTGAATGTAATAACAGTGTGCGGGAACTTATGAAATGCTGAAATACCTGCTACGGCAGTTACTTTAGCAATGCCAAGATGTAAAACTAACTGCTGTGGCAGGTAATTCAGAATTTTATTAGTTCTCGCACACATTTTTTACATCCAGAATGTTAACTTCAACTTCACTTGAACGTCACTTGAATGTCAACTTCACTTTTTTTTCGGTGTACATTTATAATACTCTCCCTGTACGAAAAATTGCGGAAACTACAAAGGCGGCTAAAAATAAAAAAATAGGTACCTTGAAAAAACAATATCGGACGTATTCCTCGCCAAGAGACGTGTTCTGTTCCCGATAGAAGCATGACACAGGGATTCCGTGTAATTTTACATTTTTCGTCATCCATTTTGTAAATTTAAAATCTCGATTTGGGCCAGTCTCGGAATCCAAATTTACCTTGTGAGCTGGGTAAAAGAACAGAAACATTAATATACAGAGTAAAGTAATTAAAGCCCTTTAGGAATGCATGTAAAATATAAGTATAAAATGGAAGTTGCGTAGTAATACAGTGCATGTCAAATATGAGGACATGTGATATAACGACCTACCGGTTGTAACGACGCACAGTGGATCGAATCACTAGGAGTGGTCGGACAAAATTTGGCAACTTCAAACGCTTATAACTCCTTTTTTACAACTTTGAGGTTCTAAAAGTAGTTCCATTGGTTTCCTCGTGAAATTTTCTTTAAAAGACACCTCTTGAAATTTAAAATGTGACGAAATAAACACCAAACTTCTCAGTTTTTGTCAATAATTTCATGTCCGACCTCTCCAGTTGACTCGATCCACTGTGCGACGACGCAATTTGACTGGTCCCGGCTGATGTCCGATTCAACCAATATATTTACATATTGTTTATGACGAAATTGCATAAGGCGACATATCGGCCTTGGCGACGGACTTTCCTTGAAAGTTTGGTCTAGGCTATCGATTGCAACATCCGGAGCATCGCTCAGTGAGGCAATGCAGTTTTAATGCTCTTTATTTAAGGCTATCCATACATATGTAAATCAAGAGAAGAAAATTAGTTGGCTTTTATGTAGCACGTTTTCAGTGGCAATAATCCATTCAGCGTGCGCAAAAACTCCATCTTAGTAACAAGTTCTTTTTATTTTTTGATTTTTGATTTTTTGCCTTGTGATAGAACTGTAGCCTTCGTGCATCGGCACAAACAACAAAGCAAGATGAAAACTGCTCAACTCCGCCCGTTTGAAAAATATAGTGCCGAACACAATGCGGTCGGCGTGGGACGCAGATTAGCGCCTACAAAACTGTGGGAATACTTCAAGCATTGCGCCAAACACAGCACGGTCGGCTCGGTCGGTTTCAAACGCATATTAGCGCCTTCAAGGCTGTAGGAATACTTCACGCATTGCGCCAAACACAGTGCAGTCGGCGTGTAGCGCACATCGATGACTAGCTAACAATACCGCTTTCCTGTACACGGACGAATTTGCAGAATGAAGAGAAAATTCTCAAAATGTTCAAAGAAGCTCGGTAAGTTTTGACCCCACACAGTGAATTGAGTTACTTAGAGCGGTCGAACATGAAATAAAACTGCAAATTTAGATGTTCATTTCGCTATATTTTAAATTTTAAGGAGTGCTCCTAGAAATAAATTTTATAAGGAAACCAATGGAACCACTTTTAGAACCTTAAAATTTTGTATAAACGGAGTTTTCAGCTTCTAAAGTTCCCAAATTTTGTCCGACCTTTCCTATTGACTCGATCCACTGTGCCCCGCCGCATTAACCTCTACGATGAAAAATAAGAACTTTTTCTGTAATTTTTTTGCGAGTCAATGACCTTCCTTCGCACGTTTCATTAAATGAGGCGACGACTTTTATGTAATTTTTGTCCTTACCTAAATTTGACCATTTGCTGACGATGAAGTAGCCTCCTTCTGGGATTGACGGAGCGAAACCTGCGTCTCTTAAAACACGACAAAAATAGTCTCGTTTAGGTTGTAAAATTGCGGATAGGTTTTCAAGGTAGCAGTCGGGTGTGCCCAGAAGAGATAGCTCATGCTCCAAGCATCTCGCCGTTGCTTCCTGTAACGAGACACGCTTATTTATTTTTGACTGATCTTTTTAATAAAAAAAGGGAATAAAGAAAAAAAGATAATTACAAATTGTATTGAAAAAAAAACTTAAGAACCGTTGTTTCATGCCTCACAATATTATACATCGAGAGAAAAATTAACGCAAAACTTCGGTTGATATGGGAAGTGGGCCACAAAGTAACTCAAGCTACCAGTTAATCCTAGAGTTTCCCAAGTTTTCCATTAATCTCTAACACGAATTCATCTCAAAATAGACCGATATAAAAAATAGTTATAATGGAGATGTTGCATGTGTGAGGAATTTGCGATTTGACACTTGAATCTCGTGTAAAAGTTTGCGAGAAACACGATGTGGCCACTGGTTTTCTCTAGAAATCAACTCCCAAGCTCAAAAAAAGCTCTCAAGTTGAGGCCAAAATCGAGGGGATATCCCACGCTAACCTGAGAGTCCACCTCTACATCAAAACAAACTCTCCATGCAAAGATAGGGAGCAAATACATTAGCAGGGTTACCGTGTTTTCAGTTTTGGAGTCCCCAAATAAAGTGGCAGCCCTGTCAATGTATTTGCTCCCTATCTTTGCATGAAGAGTTTGTTTTGATGTAGAGGTGGGATATCCCCTCCATTTTGGCCTCATCTTGAGAGCTTTTTTGAGCTTGGGAGTTGATTTCAGAGAAAACCAGTGACACCATCGTGTTAATCGCGAACTTTTACATAAGAATCAACAGTCAAATCGCAAATTCCTCACACATGCAACATCTCCATTGGTCTGTGTTACACCTCCTGTATATTAAATGAAAGTAACTTGAGGACGCAAACATCTTTTTCTCTGTTATTAAGTTGGTTTACTTTTCAAACAGTGAACTTTTTCTTATTTTGTCCTAGCTAGCCTCCGGTTTTTATTTGCCTCTCAAAGTATAAGTCTCCCAGAAACAGTAAAGTAAAATAAAATCAAGTATTGAAGTAGGCAATAACAGGAATGTTCACCAGGGTTTTTTTTCTTTTTCTTTTAAATGAAAAAACAAAAGATTCTCAATTTTAAATTAGTAGGCATGAAATGTTTCTGGTGCTGCTCGAATAATATTGTTCAATTTGGTTGGCATAGGTTTGCTTTTAACAGCAAGTTGAATCAGCTATTACAGAAAGGGCACAATCGACATTTTTTTCGAAATTGAGTTTTTTGCGGTTTTCGCATTATAGTGTATGTAGACACATCCTGTAGTGCAGACAGGACACTATATTCGCATTTTTTATGTGTTTTTGACAGGGGTTAAGTTCTTCACGTAGAGCAGAAAGGGCACTGTTGCAGCCAGAGGTTGCAGCATATAGTGCCGTTTCTGCAGTACGTGCCCACTGGGTGCGCGCGCATCGGCAGCGGCAACTCGTCGTTTGTTTTGTTTTGATATGATTGAGAGGTTAGTTTTGCGTTTCGAAACGACAGTGATCACGCTACACGCTTCACTCACGCTGAAAATGAAAGGAGTGAGAATTGAACCTTGAGTGTAGGAAGTGAGAGGAGCCCTTAACAGGTTGGATGAGGAAGTAGGTAGAAGATTACTACGCTATTGAAATTCAAGGGATACTTTTTTTTTTTTTT